ATAATTCTAAGCGTGAAAACTGTCCATATTTTGATGTCATGATATGTAAATTAAAAATTGTTATTTTACGGTGATAATCTTGTTTTCTTGTGCCCAATAATGCATAATTTCATTTGATAAACACGTTTAGATTGAATGGTAATTTATAATCAGTCACAAGAAACGTCGAATCTGAATCACTTGAAAAAACACGGGGTGCTTAACTTTTTTCCAGGTGTATATCAGAAAAAGCAGGAAAGAAAATCGTTTGTGTACATTGTAGGGTCCATCTTTTAGCTTTAACCAGCGCTAGAAATAAAATAGTGTCTGTGAAGAAGGTTCTTCGTGTCACCATAGAAATATATTCACATTACAACAAGTCACCAAAGCGTGAACGCGTGTTGAACAAGGTTCAAAGGTCATTGAAAGAACTTGAACTAATAATTCCAGAATCAGTTGAAGTGGTGGCTCAGTAATTACAAATCTGTTCATGTTCTCTTAACTTGTATCTGTTCAATTATGATGGCCTCCGAGCACCTACACAAAGATGGTGCACATTTAGCATTGTTAGCAGGAGGTATCTTGCTGGAAACGGAGAAATACTGTTTTCTTGTTATTCTAATAGTTCCGGATAAGGCTTTGTGTGCAGTATCTAATGTCAGCCAAGATTTGGTAAAAGAAAACCTAAACCTGTCGTCAGTTCCTCGGTTGGATTATTTATTGACACTATGAGAGGCTTTGTGTGCAGTATCTAATGTCAGCCAAGATTTGGTAAAAGAAAACCTAAACCTGTCGTCAGTTCCTCGGTTGGATTATTTATTGACACTATGAGAGGCTTTGTGTGCAGTATCTAATATCAGCCAAGATTTGGAAAAAGAAAACCTAAACCTGTCGTCAGTTCCTCGGTTGGATTATTTATTGACACTATGAGAGGCTTTGTGTGCAGTATCTAATGTCAGCCAAGATTTGGTAAAAGAAAACCTAAACCTGTCGTCAGTTTCGCGGTTGGAATATTTATTGACACTATGATTGAACAAATGGAGGATCGTTTCAGTGATTAAATGGTCTCCTTCATCAACGTATATGCTCCCTTCCGAACGGTCCAATCAATGTGCAGTTTAACATATGATGATGTGAGGAGAGGATGTACCTTTTATGATAGACTGACTTGAGATTCAAGTACGTTACAAGAAGATAAAAATGTTGTGTATTACACTTGGAAAGTAAAACATCGGTTACGACAATTTTCAAAAATTAACTGAATGCCTGATAGTGGTGCCGGTTTCGACTGCTGGAGTTCAGCGTTCTTTAAGCGATATGAACCGTATTTTAATTAAGTTGAGAAACCGGATGTTACAATACAGGCTTCAAAGCTGTAATAAGATTAGCGTCGAGGAACCTAATGTACTTTCAAACACCTTGTTGTCAAGGTTACCGACTTATGTGTACAGAACTTTCAAATACCTTGTTGTCAAGGGTTACCGACTTTTCTGTACATATAAGTCGATAAACCTTGACAACAAGGTGTCTGAAAGTTCTGTACATATTGTTCAGACACCTTGTTGTCAAGGTTTATCGACTTATATGTACAGAACTTTCAGACACCCTGTTGTCAAGAGTTACCGACTTATATGTACAAAACGTTCAGACACCTTGTTGTCAAGGGTTACCGACTTATATGTACAGAACTTTCAGACACCTTGTTGTCAAGGGTTACCGACTTATATGTACAGAACTTTCAGACACCTTGTTGTCAAGATTTATCGTCTGAACTTATTTTCGGTAATTTTTTATTTTTATTTTTTTGCATATTCGTAAAAATTGCATTTAAATATCTTAACCAATAATAATAAAATATATCAGTATTGTAATTGAAGTGCAGGAAAACCTCTAAACTAACAATATGCGTATTGTTCAATCCAGTCTACTGTTACAACATTACTACGTGTGCCAACAATGCCGTTAGGTGGAGCTCTTGTTACTTACCGGTGTTTTGGGAAGTTTCCGACGAGTTGGAGAAACAGGTTGTACATCAACATCACTGGTTGATTCTAAAATTATACATTAACATTGAAGAAAGTGTTAAACATGGTCACTATTCTTAATTACTACCATTAATTTCAACGTAAAGTAATTAGTTATTAGTACCACTAACCTAAACGTAGTGTAATTAGTCATTAGTACTACAAATCTAAACGTAGTGTAATTAGTTATTACTAATCTAAACGTAGTGTTATTGGTCATTACTACCACTAATCTGAACGTAGTGTAATTAGTTATTACTACCACTAATCTAAACGTAGTGTAATTGGTCATTAGTATCACTAATCTAAACTTAGTGTAATTAGTTAATACTAATCTAAACGTAGTGTAATTGGTCATTACTACCACTAATCTGAACGTAGTGTAGTTGTTGTTGTTGTTTTTGATTATGCACAAAGCTACACAAGGGCTATCTGTGCTCTGCCCACCACGGGTATCGAAACCCGGTTTCTAGCGTTGTAAGTCCGCAGACATACCGCTGTGCCACTGGGGGGCGAACGTAGTGTAATTAGTCATTAGTACCACTAATCTAAACGTAGTG